CCTATAAAGTGACATTATATACAAATGTCATTCATACCATTATTAGGTAATGATATACTACGTCACTAACAATGTGACAATTTTTTGTTCTTCGCATATACAAAGATTTTTTTTTGTTATTGGTAAAGTTATGATGTATCAATGACGAAAATATAAATCATTTGGTGACAAAATTAATTCTCATGAAATATAAATTAAAACGTGATGTTATCCATTATCGTCATTATATGTTTAACAATGCATGATAAAAATAGATGCATCGCTTTTGACATTTAGTGATACACTTAGGGTGACGATCGTCGTGACATCAATTTTTACATCACAAAATACAATTAGTGACCTAAATGTAAATTTTAATGACAATAACATAGATGCAACTAGTAATAAAATTTGTTGTAGAGCAATATAAAAAAATTCTACGACTTAATATTTATTTATTTGTTTTCATTCAGATTTATTATTATTTTAATAAAAAAATTTATCGATATTTCTAATGCATTATTGGTAATGTTAATCCTATACAGTTGACCTTTGCTAAAACTTCAGGAAAAAAAACCGAGGTGAAATTCTATTACTTGTTAATTGCAAGAAAAAAAATATTTTTTTAGTTACCTTACTAGAGAACGCTAAAATTGTGGCACATTAAAAATAATCTCTGCGACAATGTTCCAGGAACATTATTAAACATTGAGGGCAAAACAAAAGATAACATAAATGCTCATTTTGATGTTATATTACTATTACTGGTGATGGTAGCTATGTATTTCACCCTACATGTTATACAATATCAAAAGATGAAAAATTAGTTATTTTCTTAATTTCTAAAAGATCTTAAAGTTGACTATTTTTCTAATGTCTTTTTGTTGTTTGATTTAAATGACTACAAGATTTCTAGAATGAAGTGCCATGTATTTTTGCATCAATATCTTCCTTTATCTCTACGTGATTTATTATACGAAGATGTATCAGGAGTATTACTTAAGTGCTTATTTAAGAGAGTTATGTGCTTAAAAAACTATATGTCAATGACTTGGAGAGACTTGAATGGTCAAATTTTGTTAAATTTTTGTAAGTTAAAGAAGATATTTACTCATTTCTTAAATAATGATACATTTAATAATCCATTTAGCAAGGTAAAATCTAGGACAATTTCAATTGATGTATCTCATAGAATGATTCTTACGTAAGTTGAAGTATTACGTGAGAAACGAGGCTCATCTAGAAGATTCAATTGCTAAAGCATACATCATGCAAGAATACACATATTTTTGTTTTAGGTATTTATGTGAAGCTGAAACTAGCTCGAAATCAAATCGAAACACACAAGTATAATGCTTAATTCTCAAGTTTTCTATATCTTTAATTTAATTACAAATATGTTGAACTTTCTCTCAATTTTTAAGCGCCCTTTCTCCCAAACTTAAACATTTAACAATAGAGTTTTTAGGCATTTATAGAAGTAAGAAAGAGGTAAAAAAGTCTTGGTAATTTAGAGAAAATGAAGTAGTAAGAAAAGATGAAAAAAGAGCTCCAAGGCAGAACCTAAAAAGCCTCAATTCAAACCAATTCTCATTTTGTATGGGGAATTGTATTCAAAGTTGCAGGAAGAACGATTGATAACTTGATAATATCCTTAATAAATATGTTTAAATGAAATTGATATAACAATCACGCAAAACTAGTTTATAGTGGCATTTGGAGAGCAAACGCCGCTAATTTAATACATATCGTGGCGTTTACAATGAAAACGCCACAAAATGATAACATCAGCGGCGTTTTTGTCTAAAACGCCTCTAAAGACTCAAACTTTAGTGGCGTTTTTGAAACAAAGCCACAATAATCTTATTTATAGTGGCATTTTTTATTTAACGCCGCAATTTTTTTATAACATTAGTGGCGTTTGTAATTAAAAATGCCGCAATAGGGTTAACGTTTAGTGGAATTTTTAGAAAACGCCACACTTGGCAAGATATTAGTGCCATTTGAAATTGAAAACGCCGCAAAGTTTGAGTTTTTATCTCCTAAAACTCCTAGCCCTTTTCATCTTTTCTTTCTGGTTTTCCTTTACTTCCTTTATTCTGTTTACCCCAAACCCACAAATTAATTTATGCCGATCTCAGTCCTTCTTTGGTTGCTTCGTTGATCTCGTAAATTCCTTTCTTCAAATCAGTAGCTTCGCTACTTCGCCCATCTGGTTCGTTGCTTCGTTATTTCACTCTGTCGGACCTCAAACCCATCTGCTTCATTACTAGACCCTAAACCCATTGCTTCACTGCCAATCTCACGTTTGCTTGGCAAGTTTTTAAGAAGAGATGATGTTGTTCTTCAAATTAATAAGGTAAATTTGATGCATTTTTCGTTAATTTTATTCCCAATTTCTATTTTTTTTCTCTTAGAAATGGAAAATAGAGTTCACATTTGGAGTATTTGGGTGTTGGATTTTTCCATTATAATTGAATTTTGTTGAAATACCCATTTGTTTCTTTCGGTGATGCACTCTTCATTTTGTCTAACCAGTTAATTAACATCAGATGTGTTCTAATCAAAGATAAAAAGCAGCCAGTTGAATTCTATGATTTCCTTCAAATAAATATAGACTCCAATAAAAGTGTAGTGACAGACAACAACTGTGAGGAGGTGAATCAAGAAGAAAAGAAAAGCATGCCCTTCATCGATTTCTTATCGGTTGGATGGTCACCCTAGCAAACATCCCTGCGTATCCCCATCTTTCAAGTATGACATACACATCAACACATACATCTTGCTAATTCCAAGCTTAGGTACAATGTTTTAACTGACACACGATATTTAAAATGTAGTGAACCTAGGGTTTATGTAGAAAACTATGATATATTATGATTTATGTGTGCTACAAATAATGAAGGCTTTAATTTATGATTTATATTTGAGTTTAACTCTTGTCCCTTTTAATAAAATTTTAATTTTTTTAAAGGATAATATATCGATGTCCATAGATACACCCATATCTCAACAAAGCCTGTAGGGTTTTGTTTTTAGGTGAAAAAGATGAGATCGTTGTTTTGTTGGTTGCGCATTGTTTAAGTGCAAAGTTTTCCAAAGCTATATATGAATGAGTTAGCAGCTCAATAAAATCAATTATGTGACCAAATTCAGCTGATGTAAGTTTTTGGACACAAATGTTATTATTTCTTAACAACTCAAAGACATTAGTTCCTCCCCTTCCTATCTACCTCCTTTGGTTACTTAAGTAATTGAGTTACCATTAGCTTAACTTATTTGTCTCTTAGTGACGATACTGCATGCATTGCCTTAGTTTCATCTCCACAGTTATTCATAAAATGGCATATTAATTCCATATAAGCAGAGGCAAATGAAATACATAATATAAGTATAGGCAAATGAAATACATAATACAATCATGGATTCATGAAATTGATTGTGCATATTCATGGTTCAAGTGCTTTCTGGAGCTAAATAGTCTAGTTCAAGGTTGTCATCACCTTTTATTTGAATCAACTTGGCTTGTTCTTGAGTATGTATAGGCAAGCTTTGATGCAATTTAAAAGATTGGCTTATAATTTTTTTTGTGGGCGGGGGGCTTGTACAGTGGGAAGCTTTGATTCCATTTGAAAGCAAAAATGCAATGCAAAATATTTCCTTTTTGGCTAACTCAATTTCTTGGCAAAACGATGACTAGGAATACGGTTCCTATTTCAAAAGCTTGAATTTGTTTTCTTCAATGCTTCATAGTTTCAACTTCCAAGCTTTTGATTGCTTTGCCTCCAATAAAGCAGTTAAATTGCAATTTTGTATTTACCTTTTTAATTTTGCACAGGGCGGCAGTTACATGCATTCTAGAGGTTCTTCGGTCTACCATGTATTTAAACAGATCACGGTAATAGTCTCTTTAGTTCGAGTTAATTATATCCACTGAGCTGAAGTTTTCAGTATACTAGTAATTATTGCCTATCACAGGAGCATTCTACTGTTTCCCTCCAGTATTTCCATGGAATCAGAAGTAAAACAACATTACATTCTTTTTTGGTACAGTGTGTGACAAGTTGTGAATTGTTATTCAATTTTTAGCAGCCATTTCATGCTAATGAGGTGTTTCTGCTTCTGTTTTTGTAGCACTGGATATGTAGCTATCAAACTTTATTCACCAAAGTCTGCAACTATGATTTCTTTCCCTTCATTTTTTGTATAATTCTCCCTAGCTTGTAATATTTTTCTAGTAACAAAATGAACTTATTGGTACAACAAATAGGGACAGCTACTGGCAATGGACAGACAATCAGCGTTGATCTTGCCTTTTGTCCATCGTCCTTATCGAACTTTTTCTGCATCGAAAGTTTCATCTACTCAAGACCAAAGTTCTAATGCCCTCCAGTATTAGAACTCCAGTATATCCTTATATAAACCCCTTTTCCCCCTCCATTCTTTTCACCCGACACTACAAGAAAATATAACTTTAATGACACACGAACGATAACACACGCTAATTTATGACTTGTAAAATAGGTGTGTCATAAAAAAAATATCATGTTTCTTAAAATATGAACGATTTATGACTTACAATAATGTGTGTCATATTTAATAGTCATAATCCAAAAAATTGTAAAAACAAGGAGTACACTTTTAATTGTGTCATCTGTAAAAGTCGTATTTTAATTTCCCCCCATTATTTTCATCATTTCCCGCTTCCCTTTGTTGCTCTAGAAAATTAAGCATTCAAACGACAGAAACTAGATGGAGGAAGATCTAGACAAGTGCTTTTATGCTCTTCTCCTCAACATGTTTTAGCTTCTGTGATTTGTAACTTTTATCTGAAGTTTTGTCTCTTTGTTGCTTCCCTTTGTACCTTAGCTTCTGTGATTTGTAATCTTCTGGCACCATTCGTTTCAATGGATGAAATGATCAGACTTCACCAGATATTCAGGTCAACACATTTTCTCTCCTGAATTTTCTATTAGTTTCATGCTTTACTTCTTCAAGTTATAATATGTTCTGTTTGGAATTTTTTAGGCAGAGCTCTTGCTCTCTTTTTCTGAAGCTGCTAAAGGATGCACAAAGGATCTATGTTTTGATGCATTTGTTCCTTGTGATTCTTGTGGTAAGTAGAGTAAAAAGATTGCTTGAATTATGACACATTCAAGAATCTTACAAGCACAAATATAGTAAATTACATGCGTTAATGCCCTTCTACTTCTTAATTTATGTTTGTCCAAAATTGTTATGTATTCTTGCTGCTAATATTTTATAGCATTATGTTAAATGTATTTCTCTAATCTTTCCATTTTTGTGAAGGATTTCTTCCTCCGGTTTTTATATATATAGTTTTCTCATGCCTTGTTTATTTCTTAATGCAGATGGGTGTGGCTATCCACCAAATGCCAAAGTTAAAGTTTGTCCAATTTGCAGAGGCAAAGGGACTGTGAGTTTATAAATCCTCCCAAACGGGTTCACTTTTTGAAGAGAATACATGTTACCTTTTATTTATTATACTTTATTGACTCTTAACAAGGTTACAATTCCTCATTTTACATCAACATGCAACACTTGTAACGGATTGGGACGAATAATCAAGGTTTGGTTTCATTTTCAAAAAAACCACAATTTGCTTTTACTTGTATATCATATTAACAATTAACATGGTTTTACATATATGATTCAGGAATACTATATATCATGCCAAGGATCCGGGGTTGTTGAAGGTGTTAAGGAAGTTAAAGTTACAATACATGCAGGTAGATATTAGTTGCTTTTCTTTGACAAAAAACTTTTTCAATTTCAGAAGATTTGAGACGTAGCTTTGATTCTTAGCAGTTCATATAAAGAAAGGGTTTCACATGAATTCCTCATATGGTTTATCATATAGCCTTGAGATCAAATTTGTAGCTCTTTTTTTTCTCTCCCCTCCTATGGTTGGTTTTTCAGATCTTAGAGTGTTATTTCTCTCTCTTTTTCAATTTTTTTATTTTCCCGTTTCCTTTCGTAATTTTTTATTGCAATGCTTCGTTAGTAATACAGTTTTAGGTAATTTACCCATCTTTATGAAAGTATTAATTTTAGTTTCTGCATTTTGCATGGATGCATGAAATATCAAACTAGTTCTAGGATGTAACCTTTATCTGCATAGGTGGCTACTTGACTGTCACAAAGAATATGTAGCTTAAGATTGCAGCATTAATTTTATTGACTCCTTTGTATTTTTCTATAAAATGATTAGGTGTGGATTCTGGAGATACAATACGTATACCAGAAGCTGGTAATATTAAGCGATAGGAAAATCAACCTGGTAACTTGTTTATTAGGATAAAGATGCAGTTCCTTCTATTGCCTTGTATCTTTAAGAAGCGCATTATTGAAAGTAGGTTATGTGAAACTGTAGATTCATTTATGGTTTTGAAAATTTCTGCTTATCATTTTTGTTGCTTTACTTTTTCTTTGAGCTGGGATACATAATACCTTTTCATGAAACTAGAATATGATTAGTTTTGAAACTTGATTTGAGGTTGCCAAATTGGGTAGCAGAGAGGTAAATAACTAATTAATATTTGATGGTCGAGTTATATATTATCCTTTCTTCTGAACTTTGCTTTTATAATCTAGGTTACAGATGATCCTGTCTTTGGTAGAGATGGTGCAGATGTTTATGTCAATTCTAATATTAGCCTTACTCAGGAAGAATCTGGGCTATGCAAAATAATTACTGCACTTGACTATATTCCATATAGTTGGACCAGATCTGATATTTCACCTACATTCAAAACATTTGATGCTGGAATCTTATTTTCTCTTCACTTCTATTTGTTCTTTTTTCATGATGCCATTTGTCTCACCCTGGTCATTTCTTTGGCTTTTACTGTATATTATCCCTTTCAGTGGAGATATCTTCGTTGATTTATGAGTGTCCAAGCCTGCTTCCTTTTGAATATAGCTTTTCGTTGCCAAATAATCTTATAGATTAGCTAACAGAATCCAAATATTTCTATCTGTAATGAATGTTTGGATCTCTTACAGGCAATTCTTGGTGGTGAAGTTGAGGTGCCTACATTGTTAGGGAAGGTTCAAGTGAAAGTAATTCTCTTGGTTTTATGGAACTCTTTTATTTATTTGTGCATTACACTTTGGTGAGAGTTACTGAAAGGAAAAAAAGAAAAGAAAAAAGAAAAAAAAGTGTGTAAATCTTTCTTTATTAGAGGAGGTTGTCTAGTTATGCAAATGTAAGTACTAAATCTTTGAATGTCATTGGACATGAGCCTCAGTCTTGTCAAGAGTTGGGCCTGTTAATGTGTAAAACCTGACTTGAATTTGTCATTTGATATAAGATAATCTGACCTTTTCTTTTTGGTCCACCATATAGAGATTCATTTTTCATTTATTAACTTTTAACAATCTACATGTATCATTGTATTCGGAAAAAACCATTTTGTGCTTTGAAATTATGGCGTTCTCATATACCAAAAGGATGCCAACATAGAGAACTTCTTGTTCTAAGAGGAAAATGTATGTCTAATCAGTAATCATTCCCCTACTGTACCACCTCTCTCTATTTCTTTATGTTGCTTGAACATATTTTATTGTGCCATTCCTGCTACAAATGCGCTTTCTTTGTGAGTTCCTGCAGGATTGCCAAAGCATGGTTTTCTACTATATCATGGAGATCAGTATGTCCGCTTCCGCGTTAATCTGCCACCGTAAGCTTCCTTTAGCTTTTTCCTACTTACGTTATTGGTTGGGTGTTTCTAAATTTATTACTGATGATATTAAGATATATAGGTATGTTCAGGATAGTATTGTACCAAATTAGTCTATATGCTGTAACTTATCAAGTTATCATGTTAGGAACTAGGACGAGTTATGTCTCTGAAAGGTTTTCGTTGGCTCTTAACTTGAAGTATGGCTACTGCTTGTTGTTTTTGCAGATCGGAGATTTTGGATTATCAAATAATGCATATATAAAATTGGTCATTTTGAAGATGTTTACTGCTTTGAGCATTTAATCAGAAAGTTTTGAGAAGCCTTTCCTGGAGTGCACATCCGAGTTTTATGCAGTTGAAAGAATGAAATACATGCAGTAAACAGATATTCTAGATTACTTGAAGCATGTAGAGGTACCTCTTCATATTTCACTTTCTTTGTTAGCAGTGATTGTTACTATGTATTTTGAATTGTGCATGTTTTATCCTTCTAAAAAGAATGTTAAATTTGTCACATTATTCCATATATATGGAATTTGAATGTTTATCCCTCTACAATTTTTGTGTAAGTTTATGTAACTGTTTGTGTGTATTGATGCAGATGAGGTTACATGAAGAAAATGAAAGATGTTTACTCTACATGGATGCTATTACAAGAAAGCCACTTATAGCAACAGGAGAAGGGACACCGCAAAGAATACACGGATGACATTGATGATATTCGCAAAGAATGGGTATCTTATGCGGCAAACGTTATTATGCCGTGATATTTTGTATCGACATATGATTACAATATTTTTGATAACTTAATGTGAATATGTTGTATACAAATGGATTGCTTATATATAATATGATATATATTTAGTATTATGAGGCATTAAATGTGATTTAGTTTGATTATTTGTCAATCTACATTATATATATATATATATATATATAATTCAATAAATACAATCACGACACACGAATGTGTCATTTTCATTTATGACGGGGGCTTCAATGACACGCAATATAAGTCATAAATGCGTGTCATAAATTTATGATACACAAATGTGTGTCATCTTCATTTATGACGGGGGCTTCAATGACGCGCAATGTAAGTCATAAATGCGCGTCATAAATGCGTGTCATAAATGCGCATCATAAATTTATGACGCACAGTTGCGCGTCATCTTAAATTCATGTCGGTGGCTTCAACGACAGGCAAATGTGTGTCATCCACACCCATAGATAACGCGCAATGCGCGTCATTAAAGGGGTTTTTTCTACTAGTGCGACTAATCCTCATATCTCTTCCTTTTCTATTCATATGGAATTAATGTTAAGATGAGTGGTCTTACGAGTTGGCCTGAACTGGTGATTTGAGTTCAGTCTTTGTCTGAGAGAAGCAGAGAGAGCAGTGAGAGAAGCAGAGAGAGAAGCAGCATTTCAGAAAAAATATGAATAACTTCAAAATCAAATTGAAGCTATGAAGTAGATGATGCAGCAGAATCAAACGAAGAATTCATCATCCTAGGTGATTTCTTAGGTTAATGCTTTGTTTATGTTAGTGAAAAAGTTGAACTACAAAATAGGATGTTTGAAAACTTTGATTTATTTATGTTTTTATATATTGTTACTTAATTCGAATCGTAAATAAATAGTTTTTATATATTATTACTTAATTCAAATCGTAATTAAATTTAAGGTGGTTATTGAATATTGTTACAGGTTAAATTTGGGTAATACAAAATAGAAAAAAATATTTTGGAAATCAGATTCAAATAGCGGCGTTTTAGGGGAAAGACGTCACTAATGGAGTATATATTTGGTGGTGTTTTCAGGAAAACACACCGCTAAATAACAAACTTGTTGCGACTGTTTTGCCTAAAAATTCCGCTAAATAACAAACCTGTTGCGACGTTTGTGCCTAAAAACGCCACTAAATAAAAACATGTTGTAGTTGTTTTGACTAAAAATGCCACTAAATAACAAACCTAAACGCCGCTAAATTACCTGACCTTTTGCGGTGTTTGTTAGCAAAAACACCACTAACAGTTGAGGTGTTTGTATTAGCAGCGTTGTTTGCGGCACTTTTTTTTTTGCACCGAGAGCATTTTTAGCGGTGTTTTCAAATGTTGTTGTAGGACAAAAAAAAGGTCGCTACATACCAGTTCTGTTATAGTGAATGTGTTAAAAAAGATAATTTTATAAATATGTTGGTAATTATACTCGATTCAAAGTTTGTTCAAATGATGTAAAAATGATTTTCAAGAAGTTAAAGATGTCAAAAAAATAAGTTATTAATTTTTTTTTGGATTTTATGGAATCTTAACATATTTTTAAAACTCAAAATAAGACATTTTTTTAAACGTGTAGCAAGGTTTTGGAAACCACTCAGAGGGTTTCGAAGATAATGTCTATGTGGTTTCAAAACCCCATGAAAGGTTTTATAATCTTCGTGTCGAAACAGGAAAACATTTCATCCCCACCTTCGATGGATTTGAAATTCTCTCAAAAGGTTTCAAAACCCTTGAGTTAAACATTATTTGTGAGAAATAAATGCTTCCAACATCTCCAAAGCTACTTCAACTATCCCAAATGGTTAAAAAAACATTGATAACATATAAAAGAAGTTTTGTAACAACCAAAAATTATCGAGAAAGTCATTCCAAACAATCAAGAGCTCAAAAATTATCAATTTGTATTAAATTTAGTCTTTCTTTCATTTAGCACTAGTTGTCTTTCAATGTAATTCTTATTCTTATGTTTTTAAGTGTGTGTAAGCTTTATTTTGTGTAATCAATCTATCTTGTGATTATATTTCATAGTTTGCTTATTTTAAAATTATCTTTGGGAATAAGTTTAAACTTAGAATTTTGGAGTATAAATCTTAATTGGTTGAA